GCAGCAAGGTGCAGATTGCTGCTGCAGGCCGAGTCTCCGACTTGCACAGATGTGTTGAAGGGTGCTGCTGCAGGCCGAGACTCAGAGTTGAGCAGAATGCTGCTGCAGGGCGAGTTTCTGAGTTGCGCAGGGTGCTGTTGAAGCGTGCTGCAATGTTGCAATATTGTGTATGCAGGATTTGGCAAGCGCATTGCCGGAGAACTCTGTTGGGAGAACTCTTTGCCGCTCTGCCGGGTGGCATAGCACGTGTGTTGGAATGGGCATCTTTAGTTCGTTGGCGAACAACTCTTGCTATCTGTGGTCAATTCTGATCTAATTTTCGCATGTGACTTGGATTCCTGAGCACTGATCCAATGCAGATCGTGCTGGAAACCTCCTCCAGTTCTCCGCCGTGTTGAGGATTCGAGCCTGTGATCACTCGGCTGTAATGGGGTGACGCGTTTCGGTGACGCCATGCGGCTGATCAATATTTCGGGGTATTTTTCCCATGTGGCTGAAATATCCGGCGCTTTAGTGGTTTTCCAACAACTATTTTGATCAACCCCCAGGTGCCTGGAGGATGATGCCCAAATGCCGCGTCGGGGGCCAAGCCTGGCTTCCATCCAGATGCACCTAACTCCATCCCGAAAACCCGGCACCTGGCAAAGTCTGGCTGCCGCCAGTATGAAGGCGCCACCGAGTACCTGGCGCAGTATGAAGCTGCCGGGATCTTCTGAATCGCAGCATTGGTTTCTGAGGTCAGTACCAGCATGCCAGCGAGAACAAGCAGATCACGGCCTGAGATGTTGCTCATAGCTCCATGCTAATTGCTCATCCACTGATGCGATCAACAATGCGCTTCAAGCTGCTGTTCTCGTAGATGGTGCTCAAAGCCTAGGTCAGTATGGGCAAGTGGGAAAATACATTGTGCACGACATGTACTTCTGCACTTCTATGCAGTATCTGTTTGGCCAATCATCATTCATCCGTCCATGGCTACATCATTCTTGCTTATGCTGAGTCCAAGCGCTGTTGGCCCAAAGAGAAGTAGCAGAATGATGTTCCCTCGGATGAAAGTCTCTTCCTGCACAACGGAACACGGGCGTGTGTGTTTTTTGGGTGCCTCAAAATGGCGCAACGTTCTCCTTTTGGTTTCCCTTAAAAAGGGAATTCCATCAAAAAAAGAGCCGCCCGCATCAACATCAAGCACCGCCTGCTGGCCCTTCATCGCTCTGCTGGCAGAGGACTCTCTAAGCATCCTGGCGGTGCAAAGAATTAATGCCCCCACATAAACAAAACAGTCGAAGAAATTGTTGCCCTCCAAAAGTCGTTTGAATCCCCATGAAAAGGGGCAAACCCCTAATCAAAGTCAACCACGGGTTTATTAATTCGGGGATTCCATAAGGACAATTCTGAATTCTGGGAGTGTCTCTTTTTGAGGTCACCCCATTTTGGGTGGCTGTACAGCTAAACCAAGAGGAAACAACCCATTTCGGGGGGGGGGGGGGCGTTCCCCAAAAAAAGACACACCCAACCAAATTTGGCGGCAACCGCCGCGTCGCGGCTCGTGCGGACTCGTCCGGGGCCTCTCTACATTTCGTAGCGGCTGCTGAAGCAGCTCTCCAAGGACGACCAAAGCCGCTCCTGTCACATGGCCAGGCGTGTTGACCCTACGGATGAATCAACCGCTTCACAGGCGGTGGTTCCACAAAACAGAGGATCTCCTCTAAAGAGAGGGACTGGATACATGGAACCAACGGCTAAAACCTGCGGTTTGCCGTCCAGGCGCTTCTTTTCTTAGCACACATCGAAGCCGAAATCTTTTCGGAGTGCTGCGAGGTAACATTTCCCCAGAACCCCTGGGTGTAAGTCTACGGGTAGAAGTGGAACCCTGATCCCAACTCTGATTCATTAACTCTGCTTCAAAAACGATCAACACACAAACCCTCGGCCTGCCGCTGTTCCGCAAATCAAGGCTGCCATCAGCCCCACAAACCCCGGATCGGCGCTGACCTGAGACGAACTCGGCAGCTTAAAGAAGCTGAGAAGGACGACGAACTCGTCTCACACCCCTGGACGCCCCAGCGTATGTGGACCACACCACCAGCAGCCAGATGGACACTTCACAGAAGCTTCTGAGTGTGTCCAGCCTCAGCTGAGAAAGTCACAGGAGCACAAAATGCATGGCGCTGCTTCAGTATTACGGCAAATTTGATATTCATAATATACATATACAAATGCGTGTGTATATATATGTATATATATATATTATACTAGTATATATTCGCCTCGGCCTCAAGGGGGCCAAGGGCGCTCAGATCTTGTTTCTGAAAGAGAACGTTCACCCCTCACCCCGTCTCCCTAAGTTGACATTTTCGGGGTTCGAAGCATGACCTCCTGCTGGCCAGGCTTGGCTGACCTGTCTGAGACTAGCCTCACAGCCCAACCCAAGCAACCCACGCAAGCAAGGCCCAGCCCAGCCCAGGCCCCAGCAGCGCAGCCCGGCTGCCTAATTTGAGACTCGCCCAACCAGCAACCCACCCACGCCCACAAGAGGGCTCAATCTGGCAAGCCTCGGGCCCAGGTCTGAGACTTGCCTCAGGCCCAGCCCAACCAGCAGCCGCCCAAGCAACCCAGGCCCCCCACCAACCAACCCAAGCAAGGCCCAGCCCAGCTCGCCCTGTCCTGTGTAATTATCGCCTTGCCCTTGCCTTGGGGATTCCCGCGGGTCCTACGACGCCAGAACCTGTCCATGCCTGAATCGCCACTTGACCAGCCGCTGCGCGCTCGGCTTGGCCGAGGCGTGCAACGCGCAGCGTTTACAATTACAGACATATATCTACATGATCCATCTTATATAATCTTCTCCAATGCCCATCTAAACCCTCAACCCAGCTCCAATTGCCCGAAACCGCCTTGAACCCTTGACCAGCACGCAACCACCGCTACGCCCATCCACTGCGCCTGCCCAGTTTACCGATTGCCCTGAACTTGAAGAAAGCAAATGGGTGATTTTGCATGAGCCCAAGGCTGACAATTGCTTGATGGCTTAAGCCGCAATCAGCGTGGTTGGCTATGGGGGCGCTGCCTGTGTGTATGTGTTCATCGAGGATATTATCAAGATTGAGCAACATGCTTGGTGCGCATGCCTTATTCATGCAAACAGTGCGCTTTCTTGCCACGGTTATTCACTGAGAGAGCACTGCCCAAGCAGCACAAGTAGGATAATCTCTTTGCTCCTGCTGAGTGTCAGACTCCCAGTTTCTACGCGCGCAAAGCACTCGTTCGACCAACATCTCACCTCCGAAAGCCCGCTGTCGCAGGTGGCAGAGTCGAACGCAGCTCTCTGAGCAAGAGGCCAAGTTTTTTGGTAAGAGGGGTCTGCTGAAGGAGTGGTCCGCAAAGTACCTTGCTCGATGTCCAAGCGGGTCACACGACAATCGAACATGTAAGCTTCCTGCATAGCTCAGAGATGCCAGCGCAGCCAGCGTGAGCGCGGTTCTTCGAGAGATGGATATAAATCCTGAGGAAGAGGCGCCATAACCAAAATCCACATGCTTGCTCGGTGGCTGGTTCGCCTGTTCTCCCCTTTTCCAGCCGCTGGTCGTGACACAAATATTGCTGCAGCCGGGAAACCCATCCACATTAAGATCTCCAACGAAAGCCGTCCCGCAAGAAGGATGCCACAAGCCACCGCCACAACCGACAGTGCACCTCAGCCGCTGCTTCGACTGGGGCGATAGCTAGGGAACGACTTTCCGCCCCGAGCCTCTTGGGAATGAATGAACCGGCTTCGCTGTGGATTCCACAAGCCCGCAGAAAGGCGACCAACGAAAAGAGAAATGCCTTTCCAAATTCCCATGGGATGGCTCGAAGAAACTTAACATGGATGGTATTTCCATGGATGGTTCGAAAAGAGGCATTTCGATGGATGGTTCCATAACGGCACGGACGGTGTTTGACACTTCCCATTTCTCAGGGCCATTCCTAGAGCTCGGATGTCGACCGGAGGCTAAGCAGGGTGCCACTGGGCCAGGTAACCTGGGGCTCCTGTCGCGAGCTGCGCGGGGGGGGGACCCCCAAGAAATGGATTTTTTTTGGGTTTGCCTGTTGGAGTCCCTCGCAAACCAACCAAAAGGGGCTCCCCCCCCAAAAAATAAAAATAAAAATCCGGAAAAACATATGTGGTGAGAAGAAGCGTGGAAATCATTGGTCCTGTGAACGCGTGCCAGGCCCATGATGTTTTGCCTGCATCGCCGTTGTTCCTGGGCGCGTCAGGTCTTCGATTTGCTGATTTTTCCAGAAAACGGTTTGGATGTGGCTGTGGGTCCAAAGCATGTACCCAAGATGGAACACTGGTAAATGGAATCATGGACTAAAACCATCTAAAACCTGTGGTCCCTGGTGGTTTAACTTTGACCCACAGCCATGTCAAAATGTGGCGTCCACTACGAAAAGATTACTACGAAAAGACCAACAAGGGGAACAACAGGTTATTTGCACAACAAACGCATCCAAACCGTTTTCTAGAAAGTTAGTAAGTTGGCAACCGTTCGGTTATAACTCACTTTTGAGTCTTCCGTGAATGTGAAAGAAAAACTATTACTTGCTAACTTGGCGAATCAAACGTCCAAGCAGATGATGCCACACTCCTGCGAAGTCCAACTGACAACAGCTGAGAGACAGGCAGAGAATGGGCAAAGTCTGCACACTTGAAGCCAGTATTACATTCGACTCGTGGTCTTATCCTGATTTTGGCACTTGAGGTGGACAGTTGGATTTGGAATGAATGCCATAAGAACAAAGTCATGTTTCACAGCAAACATCTGCGCAAGGTGGGCGCAAGAAGCTCAAAGCCGACAGCTGAGGTGATGCTTGTGCGGTGAATGCCTTCAGACCGATCTATCCATGCAAAATAAAACACAAAACACATGAATGCCTGCATGATGCTGCCCTTTTGCTGCTCTCCAGAGCCATCAATCTCTGCGAGCAGATCCTGGGCCTTGCGGGGACTTCTCAGTTTTCCCATGGTCTGCGCTCACCACAGACGAATCCTCACACAAACCAACTCCCTTGCCTATTCCGATGTCTCCGGCCGCTTGGAATGCCGCTCAGCCCCGCCCTGTCGAAAGCCATGCTTTGCAAACATCCACGGAACACTGGCTGGGAGACATGGAATGACTGGCCAGGCGGCAATCCCCAAACCCATAATATCATAGTCATTCCCTACTGAGCACCAGCAAGACAAAACGGCACCATGTTCCCCGAGATGGCATCAACAAATATATATTTAAATTCAATCCACCATTTATTTTTAAACAATAGCATTTTGAAAAATAATAATTATTATTATTATTTTATGTTTATTAAAAAAAAAATGCTTTTTAAAATAATTTAAAACCTTTTATAAAGTGATAAATAGAGATGCTTCTGCGTAGGTTTGGGCTCAGCTGTCCACCGCTGATTCCAGATCGCCTTTGTTGTTTTCGATTGAGACATGATAAAAGGTCTAGCTTCTCATTTGGCGAGGGCCTCTCCTAGAATAGGGGAACCCCAAACTGGCTAGTCCTTTTGGTTTCCCTTAACCAACCCAAGGGTAAGACACACCCGCTTGGAAATTCCCGTCCAAATCCTCACACATAAACTTAGGTCCAACTACCACTGGTATGCAAGAAAAAGATCAAGACATGCTCAGTGCACCCTTCCAATAACCCCCCAACAACAAAAAAAACCGAAGAGCAGCGCGGGAGGTGTGCTTGGGCGTGTGCGCTTGAGTGAGGATGCGTCTCATTTGGCGGGCGTGTGTGCGTTCCTGAGCGTATGCGCTTGAAAACCCGCGACGGAATGCGCGGCGGGCCAACTACAGGCCCGATGTTCGACACGCTTGCAACAACTTCATCGACGCCATCATGTACGCGCGCGGGGTGTGCTGACCCTTGGTGCGGCACTACTTTTAGAAGCAGTTGTGCATCGCCTGCATTGACTATCTAAAACCTTTGAACGCAGCCTCACTGGCGCAACGGTTTGGGAACCTCGAACGGGTGTTTCCTGCATGTGAGAGGAAGTAAATGCCTCGTTGGTGGTGGTTTGTTTCTTCGTTCGTTCGTATGATGAAAGCGCTTGTGGCTGAACCATGCAGCATTCCCAACTAGCAGCAGTCTTGGCGAGTCAACTCTCGCCAGTTTTCACGTTCCAAAACACAGCCAGGACTCCTTGGGAAGAGGCTCCATTTGCATCGGGCTATCCATGAGTCAGTCAAACTTTGGACCGGCCTGCATCCAGTTCCAGAAGTCTTTGAAGTTTCTGCTGCAGCAAAGCACCTGGTCGTCTCGGCTTCAACCCTCACAATTTGCCCAAAGAAAGCACGCCTGGCGCCAAGGCGAGATCATGCACCGTCGTGTTCAAAGGCTTCAAGGCATGCCGTGCTCGCTTCACCTCCTGAGGCAAACATACCATCCTGAGAAATGACCTGTGGGCTCATAATACTGTGGATGCACGCAATCCATTTCGCACCACCGTCCAAAAATCCTGGAAGAAGTCGATTCCCCTTCAAATACCAACAAACCTTATGGTTTCAACCAACCATGGTTTCTGAACGGTGGTGCGACATGGATTTCGCACCCATCCACAGTACCGCGCAACGAACATGTCCACCTCTGCTGTCGAGAGCTCGGGGTCGTCCTCGACTGCCTCTCAAAGCAAAAAAATGGCACGGCTAGGACCAGCGCCATGGAACATTTCCGCAAGAAAACCAGGACTAAACCTGAGTCACAATCTTCCCCAAAGTGAATCGATCGGATCTGACCCTTTTGGTTTCCCCTTTTTGGCCCATTTTTTGTCACGGCCCTAAAAGGTGAACCTTTTATTTCCAGGCAAAACCCGGTATTAAAAGGGTCGTAATCCCAGAACCAATGTCAAGAATTAAGAAGGCGGCCGCAGAAAACCTGGGTCACAATCAAAACCGACCTGTATTGAAGTGGGCGTACTCCCAGAACCATGCTTCAAAATTAAGAAGGCGGATATCCGCAACGATTTCTGGCTGGGACTGCCCCTTACCAACCTTCATCTACCCGGGCTTTGATTGTGGCTCACCCGAGGGAACCTCCGATTTTGTCGAACAAATGAAGCGGGGAAGCTGCTCTTCTATCTTTTGCTTGCTGGTGCTCAGGGAACGGGGTTTGGGGAATGAAGCGGAAGGGGATTTCCCGAAAGGAAACCACCAGTTGGAGAGTTTTTGTCGGGGGCAGAAACCAATTCTCATTCCCTGCCTATCGAACCGAAAGGCAAGTCTCAGGCAAACTGATCTCTCCCAACCGAAACAGCGCACAAGGGGTGCACACCAAGGCACGGATAAGGCCGTGTAACAGAGGCGGCACGAGCAAAAGCAAGTTGAGCTGTGGTATAGTGTTTCATTGAGCCAAACCCACGGACAATCTGGCGCACTTAGTCATGGAAGAAAAAAAACGGATGCAACTGTTGTTGTCGTTAGCCGCTCCTCCAACTTTGCTCCGACTTCTGCCAGTAGTGCTCGCAAATCCTCTGCGTCGCTCTGGGAACCTGTCCAACACGGCGCAAGGTGCTGGAAAGAATCGGATTCCAGAATTCCTACAGCCCAACTCATGAGCCTGCGCCTGCTTCGTGAGAGCTAACAGTGAGCGTCTCTTCGGTCTCGGGCTCTTCCTCAGTTCCACAGAGACATGCAGATTCGCTGAATCCACCGCAAAAAACAGATGGCGTGTTGGACATAAGAAATGCTCCTTGCCTGTCTCCCCTCCCCTTACCCCCGGGGGGGGGGGGCACTTGCCACGCGGTGACCCGGCACTATGCGTTGACGGCTCCCTGCGCTTTCAAGTGGCTCTCAAAAAACCGGTACCCAAAATGGAACCCTGGGAAGTGGAAACAAGGACCAAAACCTGCGTAACCCTCCTGTTTAATTTTGAGCCACACCCAGGTCAAAAAACTCTGCCAGAAACTGCCTGAGGTAGCAACCCCTACTTCAAGGCCTCAAACTGGCCCTTCCTTCAAGGCCTCCCCTACTTTTCAAGGCCTCACACAAGAACACTCCAGGCCTCTGGCTTAGGCACAAGAAAAGGCCTTGGCATCCCAGAGGCTGCCAACAAAAAAAAAACAAGAAAACAAGAAAAACACCCGCCCCAGACCCGCGAGGGATACGGATTTGCCAAATCCGAAGTCAACACAAACAACTACGTCGCCCTTCCTAAGTGGATTGGCCAACACAAGTCTGAACTCTGTATTTTCCACTAAGATCGTCTTTCCAAAAAGTAGAAAGTCCATGAACTCAGGGAGTGAGAAGTGCACATGGAAGAGCCACTGGTGTAGACCTTGCAATATGGGCGCCATGACAGGCCAGGATTCCCAGCTTGAAGACCGAGTTCGTGGATCCTTCTGCCGCAATCGCGTCTCGCCAGCTGCTTCTTCTTCATATTCCGGCTCCTTGGCTCACTGAATTTCTGAAACCGGCTTGATGGGAAGTGAGACTTTCGAAACGGAAGGATGCAAACTGAACAGTCTGATCGTGGCAGAAAAAAGGTCGACTGCGACGACTTGCCCCCTTCCAAGGATCAGGGATAATTTCTGGGGTATCAGGCTTCCTCCAGGCCAGGGTGTGAGTCCAATGTCAAACAGTCAGACTAGATTCGTCCAATCCGTTTGGCTTGGCGCCCGGCGCTTTAGCGGTTAGAGGGCTTCTCATTTAATTACCCTCTACAAGAATCAGGATTCAAATCCCCAAACCACCCATCCCAAAAGGAGAATGCCAAAGAAACGCGAGAATTCCAACGGGAGAATTCGAAAGGAACATGTTCAATGGGACAATTCCAGCGGGAGAAATCCAAAAGGAGAATTCCAAAGGAGAAAAGTACCAATGAGAGAATTCCAATGGGAGAAGTCCAAAGGAACGTGTCCAAGAAGAAAACTCCAACGGGATAACTGCGAAGGACAACTTCCAATGGCAAAACTCCAATGGGAGAATGCCAACAAAAAAAAAGTCCAATCGGACAATTCTGATGGAAAAGTATCAATGGGAGAAATCCAAAGTGAACAAATGTCAAGAGAAAACTGCAATGGGAGACTTCCAATGGGAGATTTCTAAAGGAAAACACCCATTGGGAAAAACCCAGAAGACAACTCCAAAGGGGAAGTTACGACACACATAAGAAAGTAGGCCGGGAATGTCGGCTGTCTGAGCCGGAGGCGTTAAAGTACCCATAGTCATCAAAGCATCACGCCAGCAAGGCGGGCCAGTTTCCCGGCACCATGGAAACCCACGCCCCAGATGAACACGGATTTGCCAAATCCGAAGTCAACAAAAACAACTAAGTCGCCCTTCCGAAGTGGATTGGCCAACACAAGTCTGAACTCTTTATTTTCCACTAAGATCGTCTTTCCAAAAAGTAGAAAGTCCATGAACTCAGGGAGTGACAAGTGCACATGGAAGAGCCACTGGTGTAGACCTTGCAACATGGGCGCCATGACAGGCCAGGATTCCCAGCTTGAAGACCGAGTTCGTGGATCCTTCTGCCGCAATCGCGTCTCGCCAGCTGCTTCTTCTTCATATTCCGGCTCCTTGGCTCACTGAATTTCTGAAACCGGCTTGATGGGAAGTGTGATTCTCGAGACGGAAGGGTGCAAACTGAACTCTGATCGTGGCAGAAAAAAGGTCGACTGCGACGACTTGCCCCCTTCCCAGGATCAGGGATAATTTCTGGGGTATCAGGCTTCCTCCAGGCCAGGGTGTGAGTCCAATGTCAAACAGTCAGATCAGACTCAGAGGGTGGCTTCCCATTTACCCTTTACAACCAGGATTCAAATCCCCAAACCACCCATCCCAAAAGGAGAATGCCAAAGAAATGCGAGAATTCCAATGGGAGACTTCGAAAGGAACATGTTCAATGGCATAACTCCAGCGAGAGAAATCCAAAAAGGAGGATTCCAAAGAAGAAAAGTACCAATGAGAGAATTCCAATGGGAGAACTGCGAAGGACAACTTCCAATGGCACAACTCCAATGGGAGAATGCCAACGGAAAAAAAAGTCCAATCGGACAATTCTGACGGAACAAAGCATGAATGGGAGAAATCGGCCGGGAATATCGGCTGTCTGAGCTGGAGGCGTTAAAGTACCCATAGTCATCAAAGCATCACGCCAGCAAGGCGGGCCAGTTTCCCGGCACCATGGAAACACCCGCCCGAGACGGACACGGATTTGTCAAATCCGAAGTCAACATAAACAACTACGTCGCCCTTCCTAAGTGGATTGGCCAAAACAAGTCTGAACTCTGTATTTTCCACTAAGATCGTCTTTCCAAAAAGTAGAACGTCCATGAACTCAGGGAGTGACAAGTGCACATGGAAGAGCCATTGATGTAGACCTTGCAACATGGGCGCCATGACAGGCCAGGATTCCCAGCTTGAAGACCGAGTTCGTGGATCCTTCTGCCGCAATCGCGTCTCGCCAGCTGCTTCTTCTTCATATTCCGGCTCCTTGGCTCACTGAATTTCTGAAACCGGCTTGATGGGAAGTGTGACTCTCGAGACGGAAGGGTGCAAACTGAACTCTGATCGTGGCAGAAAAAAGGTCGACTGCGACGACTTGCCCCCTTCCCAGGATCAGGGATAATTTCTGGGGTATCAGGCTTCCTCCAGGCCAGGGTGTGAGTCCAATGTCAAACAGTCAGATCAGACTCAGAGGGTGGCTTCCCATTTACCCTTTACAACCAAGAATCAAATCCCCAAACCACCCATCCCAAAAGGAGAATGCCAAAGAAATGCGAGAATTCCAATGGGAGAATTCGAAAGGAACATGTTCAATGGGACAACTCCAGCGAGAGAAATCCAAAAAGGAGGATTCCAAAGGAGAAAAGTACCAATGGAATTCCAAAGGAACGTGTCCAAGAAGAAAACTCTGCGAAGGACAACTTCCAATGGCAAAACGCCAATGGGAGAATGCCAACGAAAAAAGTCCAATCGGACAATGATGACAGAAAACAAAATGAATGGGAGAAATCGGCCGGGAATATCGGCTGTCTGAGCCGGACCCATAGTCATCAAAGCATCACTCCAGCAAGGCGGGCCAGTTTCCCGGCACCATGGAAACACACGCCCCAGATGAACACGGATTTGTCACATCCGAAGTCAACAAAAACAACTAAGTCGCCCTTCCTAAGTGGATTGGCCAACACAAGTCTGAACTCTGTATTTTCCACTAAGATCGTCTTTCCAAAAAGTAGAAAGTTCATGAACTCAGGGAGTGACAAGTGCACATGGAAGAGCCACTGGTGTAGACCTTGCAACATGGGCGCCATGACAGGCCAGGATTCCCAGCTTGAAGACCGAGTTCGTGGATCCTTCTGCCGCAATCGCGTCTTGCCAGCTGCTTCTTCTTCATATTCCGGCTCCTTGGCTCACTGAATTTCTGAAACCGGCTTGATGGGAAGTGTGACTCTCGAGACGGAAGGATGCAAACTGAACAGTCTGATCGTGGCAGAAAAAAGGTCGACTGCGACGACTTGCCCCCTTCCAAGGATCAGGGATAATTTCTGGGGTATCAGGCTTCCTCCAGGCCAGGGTGTGAGTCCAATGTCAAACAGTCAGATCAGACTCAGAGGGTGGCTTCCCATTTACCCTTTACAACCAAGAATCAAATCCCCAAACCACCCATCCCAAAAGGAGAATGCCAAAGAAATGCGAGAATTCCAATGGGAGAATTCGAAAGGAACATGTTCAATGGGACAACTCCAGCGAGAGAAATCCAAAAAGGAGGATTCCAAAGGAGAAAAGTACCAATGGAATTCCAAAGGAAGGTGTCCAAGAAGAAAACTCTGCGAAGGACAACTTCCAATGGCAAAACGCCAATGGGAGAATGCCAACGAAAAAAGTCCAATCGGACAATTCTGACGGAAAACAAAATGAATGGGAGAAATCGACCGGGAATATCGGCTGTCTGAGCCGGACCCATAGTCATCAAAGCATCACTCCAGCAAGGCGGGCCAGTTTCCCGGCACCATGGAAACACACGCCCCAGATGAACACGGATTTGTCAAATCCGAAGTCAACACAAACAACTACGTCGCCCTTCCTAAGTGGATTGGCCAACACAAGTCTGAACTCTATATTTTCCACTAAGATCGTCTTTCCAAAAAGTAGAAAGTTCATGAACTCAGGGAGTGACAAGTGCACATGGAAGAGCCACTGGTGTAGACCTTGCAACATGGGCGCCATGACAGGCCAGGATTCCCAGCTTGAAGACCGAGTTCGTGGATCCTTCTGCCGCAATCGCGTCTCGCCAGCTGCTTCTTCTGCATATTCCGGCTCCTTGGCACACTGAATTTCTGAAACCGGCTTGATGGGAAGTGTGACTCTCGAGACGGAAGGGTGCAAACTGAACTCTGATCGTGGCAGAAAAAAGGTCGACTGCGACGACTTGCCCCCTTCCAAGGATCAGGGATAATTTCTGGGGTATCAGGCTTCCTCCAGGCCAGGGTGTGAGTCCAATGTCAAACAGTCAGATCAGATTCCTCCAATCCATTGGCAGTTAGAGGGCTTCTCCCAATTACCCTTTACAACCAGGATTCAAAGCCCCAAGCCACCCATCCCAAAAGGAGATGCCAAAGCAATGCGAGAATTCCAATGGGAGAACTCGAAAGTAACATGTCCGCGGGACAACTCCAGCGAGAGAAATCCAATGGGAGAATTCCAAAGGAACGTGTCCAAGGAGAAAACTCCAACGGGAGAACTGCGAAGGACAACTTTCGATGGCAAAACTCCAATGGGAGAATGCCAACGAAAAAGTCCAATCGGACAATTCTGATGGAAAAATATAAATGGAAGAAATCCAAAGGGAAAAACATGTCAAGAGAAAACTGCAATGGGAGACTTCCAATGGGATAATTCTAAAGGAAAACACCCCTTGGGAAAACCCAGCAGGAAACTACAAACAGGAAGTTACGACACACATAAGAAAGTAGGCCGGAGCCGGAGGCGTTAAAGTACTCCATAGGCATCAAGGCATCACGCCAACAAGGCGGGCCAGTTTCCCGGCACCATGGAAACACCCGCCCGATTTGCCAAATCCGAAGTCAACATGAACAACTAAGTCGCCCTTCCTAAGTGAATTGGCCAACACACGTCTGAACTGTTTATTCTCCACAGAGATCGTCTTTCCAAAGAGTAGAAAGTCCATGAACTCAGGGAGTGACAAGTGCAAATAGAAGAGCCATTGGTGTACACCTTGCAACATGGGCGCCATGACAGGCCAGGATTCCGATCTTGAAGACCGAGTTCGTGGATCCTTCTGTCGCAATCCTCTCTCGCCAGCCGCTTCTGCTTCATATCCCGAGTCCTTGGCACACTGAATTTCTGAAACCGGCTTGATGGGAAGTGTGACTCTCGAAACGGAAGGATGCAAACTGAACAGCCTGATCGTAAAGTTGTCATCCTGGGCACAGATTGCCTTGCCGAAAAAAAGTGGACCGCGATGACTTGCCCCCTTCCAAGGATCAGGGAGAAATTCTGCGGTATCAGTCAGATCAGCTTCCTCCAATTGGTGGCTTTAGTGGTTACAGGGTTGCTTCCCGTTCACCCTGTACAAGAACCAGTATTCAAATCCCCAAACCACCCATGCCAAAGGGAACATGCCAAAGAACAAAAATTGCAATGGAACAATTATGATGCAAGAAGTCCAAAGGAATATTTACAATGGGAAAATTCCTGCGACAGAATTACAAAAGGAGAATTCCAAGGATAAAAATACTAATGCAACAGCTCCAATGGGAGAATTCCAAAGAAAAAATATCAAGAGAAAACTCCAAAGGGATAATTCGAATGGGAGAATTCCAATATGGGAGAATTTGGGAAAAGTTCAATGGGAAAACTCCGATGGAACAAAGAACTATGGAGAAATCCAATGCAAAAACGTCGAGAGAAAACTCCAAAGCAAGAATTCCAATTGGAAAATTCTAAACGAAAACACCCAATGGAAAAACAAAGGGAGATTCGAAGGCGAATTTACGACACAAATAAGACAGCGGGCCCGGAAGGTCAGTTTGAGCCGAAGGCATTAAAATACTCCATAGTCATCAAGTCATCACGCCAACAAGGCGGGCTGCCAGCAAGGGAATGGAATGGAAACACCCGCCCGAGATGAACACGGATTTGCCAAATGCGGAGTTAAGATTCACAACTAAGTTGCCCTTCCTAAGTGGATTTGCCAAAACAAGTCTGAACTCCTTATTCCCCAAACAGCGAAGCATTGGGTTCTAACTTGAGGTATAGAGAATGGGAAAGTGTGACGCCGGTTCCGGGGTCCTGTTTTCCGCTTGTCTTCCTGTCTCCCAGTCTCTCCGGTCAGATGCCAGATGTTGTAACGCTGACTCCAGGGTCGTGTCTCCCGCTTGTCTCCCGGTGTCTCTCGTGTTTCGCGCTTGTCTCCCTGTGTCTCCCAGTCTCTGCGGTCACAGGCCGGATGCTGTGACGCTGGCTCCGGGGTCGTGTCTCCCGCTTGTCTCCCTGTGTCGCTAACTCCGGGGTCGTGTCTCCCGCTTGTCTCCCTGTGTCTGGAGGCCAGATGCTGTGACGTCTCCCTGTGTCTCGCAGCTGTCTCCCACTTGTCTCTTTGTGTCTCCCAGTCTTGTCTCCCTGTGTCAGTCTCTGCAGTCAGATGCCAGATGCTGTGACGCTGGCTCCGGGGTCGTGTCTCCTGCTTTGCTTGTCTCCCTGTGTCTGGATGCCAGATGCTGTCACGCTGGCTCCGGGGTTGTGTCTCCCGCTTGTTTCCCTGTGTCTCCCGTCTCCCGCTTGTCTCCCTGTGTCTCCGTCTCTGCGGTTGGATGCCAGATGTCTTGTCAGTTTCTGCGGTCAGATGCCAGATGCTGCGACGCTGGCTCCGGGGCTTGTCTCCCTGTGTCTCCCAATCTCTGCAATGCTGTGACGCTCCCAAGTTACCTTGGCTTTTTGAGCCAAGATGTCCTCGGCCACTTGCCCCCGTTGGCCCCCGTGAAGCCGTGAAAACTCGGCCGAACGGCCGTGATAACGCGCGGGAAACTGAAAGGCCGTTACTACTCCGTGAAGAAGCCGTGAAAACTCGTGAAATTTCACGCTCTGAGTTATCTTGTCCTCACGACACCAAAAACCTTCATAGCGCACACGGCCTAAGTAACTCGCAAATCAGATGTCAGTCTCTGTGGTCGGATGCCAGATGCTGTAACGCCGGCTCCGGGGTCTCCCAGTCTCGTCAGTCTTTGCGGTCGGATGCCAGATGCTGTGTCGCTGGATGCCAGACGCTTGTCGCTTGTCCCCCAGTCTCTGCGGTCGGATGCCATGCTGCGACGCTGGCTCCGGGGTCGTGTGATGCTGTGACGCTGGCTCCGGGGTTGTGTCTCCCGCTTGTCTCCCTGTGTCTCGCAGTCTCTGCGATGCTGTGACGCTGGCTCCGGGGTTGTGTCTCCCGTGCGTCTCCCTGTGTCTCCAGTGACGCCGACTCCTCCTGTTCCCTGTGTCCCCCAGTCTCTGCAGTCAGATGCCAGATGCTGCGACGCCGCCGGCTCCGGGGTCGTGTCTCCCGCTTGCCTCCCCTGTGCTCCCAGTCTTGTCTCCCTGTGTCTCACGCTTGTCTCTCGGTGTCTGGATGGCAGATGCTTCCCGCTTCTCTCCCTGTGTCTCCCGAGGGTCCCGGGCAAAACCAACTGAACCTGCTTCTTCTTTGGCGAGTTTTGGGGCTGACCTGACCTTGCTTGCTGCCACCTGGCCGGTTTTTTAATGCTTACAGCCCTCAACAGGAAAAATGAAGGTCCCGGGTTCCGGGCAAAACCAACTGAAGCTGCTTCTTCTTTGCGAGTTTTGGGGCTGACCTTGCTTGCTGCCAGCTGGCTGTTTTCCTGCTTACAGCCCTCAACAGGAAAAATGAAGGTCCCGGGCACTTACCCAGTTTTGAGGCTGACCTGCCTTGCTTGGCATCCAGAACCGGCGTTTGCCTCCCTTCGGTCACGTGGCAGCATCGCGCAAGCGCAATTGAGAAGCATCAAAAGCAGTCCAGCTAGAAACATAGATTCGAAGTCAGAAGGAACGGCTTGCAAAAATGTTTAGCAATGGGGAAAGGGCATGTCGCAGATTGTGCTGTTAGCCTGTGCAAAGAAAAAGGATGCGCCTCTCTCTTGGCCAAGCGCAGGTTTGCATCCTTGTGGAGCATGCAAGCAATGTCGAGCCTTAAATATGTCTATTTTTCTCGATAAACAAACAAATCGTGACGTTCGGCTGATTGATTTGCTCGGGATACTGAGCTGCTTTTTGGAAGCTAGCGCCGCGCTTCTTGGTCAAGTGCAGGTTTGCATCGACAGCGGAGACAAACTTCGCTGTCGGACTTCTGGCGGGGACAAGGTGTAAAAAGCGGTTTCTTGACATGTTTTCCTGTTCGAGCGCAGGTGGACAAGTGGCAGACAATTGAGGTTGGGCTAAACACAAAGCATTTAGCTTGGACTTTTGCCAGCGCTGCGATGTGATGGATTCTGTTGACTCTGTGGCTGATGAAGGTGTTGACGATGATGATGATGATGATGATGGTAATGAGGGTCAGGATGACGAGGATGAGGAGGATGCTGATGAGGAGAAGGAGGGCGATGATGTGGTGATGAGCCACAGAGAAGTCGACGGTTTCGCTGACAGTTTTGCTCCGAGTCAACAAACCCTTGGAATGGAGAAGGGGCGCGGCTCCACTAGGCATGTTACCAGCGAAGCAACTAGAGAGCTTGCGCGGGTCAGCCGCCATCTTAGCCAAAATCGTATGAAGCGGGGGGAGGGATGCAGGAGCGCTGCAGGAAAGACCTCCAGCGGATGACACCAGCAAGCTGCGCAAGCAAGTTGCGTTAGCAAGTAGCACTATCGAGTTGCACTAGCAAAATGCCACTAGCAAAATGGCGCAAGCCAGTAGCACGAGCAAGATAGCGCTAGCCAGTGGCACTAGCAAGTAGCACCAGCAAGTGGCACTAGCAAGTTGCAGTAGTGAGTTGCACCAGGAAGTTGCAGTGTGTTGCGGCAAGCGCTGCGCGCAGAGAGCTTGCTCAGACAACTTGCTTATTGAAACTGGTTCAGAGAAACTTGCTCTGAGAACTTGCTCAGATCGTTTGTGCCACAAACTTGCTTGGAGAACTTGCTCAAAGGAACTCGCGCCAACAACTTGCTCAGAGGAACTTGCTCAGAGAACTTGCTAGGATTACTTGGCGCCACGCACTGCTCATGCTTTCGGGCCACCCATCTTCTAGTTTCCTCTTGGTAGCATCACTGTAGTTCGAGCACCCTTTCTTGTTGGCAGTGCTGTTGTAAACCTCGCCTCCTATCCTGTTGCCAGTATTTAGCACCTTCTCCTGGATAGCCATGTGGCCCGGCCAAAACCATATCCAGTCTTTCGCTTCGCTAGCTGGTCCTGCAACGCTTTTTCCTCTTTGCAACCTATGTAATCCAGTCCCACTGACAAACGCATTTTGCTGAAGCATTTCACACCTTCGTGATGCCAAGGTGCCATTATCATTCTCTGAGGCGCTAGCTTCCCTACAGTCTCTGGACCCATGAAACACGAAAGGGGTGAGCTGCGTTGCATGGCGCTTGTGCTAGCCTCCCGCAGTGAGTATTTTTGGAAATCCGAGCAACTCCATTTCATTCTCGCAATCAACGTTCTTATCCGAGATCTCGACTTGAAGTTGGCAGCTCTGGGCGAGACTCTGATTTACTCGCTCGCAGCATACGTGGCTGGGATGTGCTGATAGCATCAAGACCATTGCTCACCGAAGCAACACGTGCTAAAGACATGGCCCATCCATTTCTTCTTTGACGACACAGCTTCGCCTCCACTACGCCTTGAACATCCATTCCGACCCGTTCTCGCAAAAGGTTTCGGCGCTGCTGGACACTCTGCGTGCGTGGCGAACCCCCCAGCAACATTACGGAACGGCGGCTCTGGTGCTCAATGTGGTTTTAATTGCAACACACGGTCATGGCCATGTTTCGACACATGTTCGGTGGCTGTATAATCTGATAAGAGTTGCTAACGCCGCAGTCTGCAAGTTTATGCAAGTTCTCTCTTGCTTTGCTTGTGGCAAGACCTTTAAGCCTTTAGCCGAGCTCGAGAAGAAGATATGTGCCCAGTCTCGGCCGCAAGCTGATGATACTGATGCGCAAGTTTCAGCAGAGTAGCGAGACGGCCACCAAATGCTGCAGTGATGGGAAAAGTGCGGAAGTTCCTTCGAAACTTCCTTTGATTAATGCCAGGTGTTAGGTTGATTCACCACGAATCCCTGGGGCCTTCACTCTCGCACATGGCATTGACATGGCATTTTCCTCCTCGAAGTCGATGAACAACATCGATGCTTTTACCCGGCGTCAAGGAGATGGATGGACCCGATGTGTCCTCTTCCCAAAAAAGGGGACTTCCTACAGGGACATACATAGACTGATTGTAACTATGTGTTGCTCACATAAGCTACTCAATTTCGCACCTTACATGAAGGAGACAAGCCTTTTTTGGGTTATACAGACCTGTCATGTTTTTTTGCTGTTTGGGGTCGAGGCTGGTGTAATTTTCCACTAAGATCGTCTTTCCAAAAAGTAGAAAGCTCATGAACTCAGGGAGTGACAAGTGCAAATGGAAGAGCCATTGGTGTACACCTTGCAACATGGGCGCCATGACAGGCCAGGATTCCGATCTTGAAGACCGAGTTCGTGGATCCTTCTGCCGCAATCCCCTCTCGCCAGCCGCTTCTGCTTCATATCCCGTGCCCTTGGCACGCTGCGTTTCTGCAACCGGCTTGGTTGGAAGTGTGACTTCGATACGGAAGGATGCAAACTGAACAGCCTGATCGTAAAGTTGTCATCCTGGACACAGATTGCCTTACCAAAAAAAAAGCGGACTGCGATGACTTGCCCCCTTCCAAGGATCAGGGAGAAATTCTGCGGTATCAGTCAGATCAGCTTCCTCCAGATGGTAATCCCCAAACCACCCATCCCAAAGGGAACATGCCAAAGAACAAAAATTGCAATGCGAACATTATGATGCAAGAAGTCCAAAGGAATATTTACAATGGGACAATTCCTGCGACAGAATTACAAAAGGAGAATTCCAAGGATAAAAATACTAATGCAACAGTTCCAATGGGAGAATTCCAAAGAAAAAATATCAAGAGAAAACTCCAAAGGGATAATTCGAAAGAATTCCAATACGGGAGAATTTGGGAAAAGTTCAATGGGAAAACTCCGATGGAACAAAGAACTATGGAGAAATCCAATTGACATGTCGGGAGAAAACTCTAAAGGAAGAAACCACAATTGGAAAATTCTAAACGAAAACACCCGATGAAAAAAAAAATCACAAAGGGAAAATCGAAAGGCAAATTTACGACACAAATAAGAAAGCAGGCCCGGAATGTCGGTTTGAGCCGGAGGCAGTCAGCAAGGGAATGGAAACACCCGCCCAAGATGAACACAGATTTGCCAAATGCGGAGTCAAAATGAACAAGTAAGCCAAAACAAGTCTGAACTTTTCATTTACCACTACGACGGTCTTTCCAAAAGGTAGAAAGTCCATAAACTCAGGGAGTGAGAAGTGCAAATAGTAGAGCCATAGGTGTAAACCTTGCAAAATGGGCGCCATGATAGGCCAGGATTCAGAGCTTGAAGGCCAAGTTCGTGGATCCTTCAGCTTCAAGACCTGCCTGCCAGGACGTTCTGCTTCATATCCCTGGTCCTTGGCACTCTGAGATTTTAAAACCGGCTTGGTTGGAAGTGTGACTTTCGAAACGGAAGGATGCAAACTGAACAGTCTGATCGTAAAGTTGTCATCCTGGGCACTGACCAGGTCGATGGATCAGGAAGGATTTCTGCGATATCAGGCTTCCTCCGGGCCGGGGCCTGAGTCCAACGTCAAACAGTCAGATCATCGAATCCCCAAACAACCCATCCCAAAGAGGGCAATTCCAAAGGAGCAAAGCATCAATGCGAGAATTCCAATGGGAGAACAACAAAGGAACACCTCCAGTGGCGAAATTCCAATGTGAGAATTCCAATGGCAAAATGTCAAGAGAAAACTGCAATGGGAGACTTCGAAGGGGATAATTCCAATGCGATCATTTTGGCGGGAAAACTCCGATGGAAAACTAACAATGGAAGAAGTGCAGAGGACAAATGTCATGAGAAAACTCCAAAGGGAGAATTCCAATGGGACATGTCCAATAGAAAATTCAAATGAGAAAATCTGAAGGAAAACGCCCACTGGGAAAAGACAAAAAGGGAAATTCGAAAGGGGAAGCTACGACACACATAAGAAAGTAGGCCGGGAATGTGGGCTGTCTAAGCCGGAGGCATAAAGTACTTCATAGTCCTAAAGTCATCACTCCAACAAGGCGGACCAGATTCCCAGCACTATGTCATGAAGGCTGTCCGCAAGGGAATGGAAACACCCGCCCAAGATGAACACGGATTTGCCAAATGCGGACGTGCAGAGTCAACGTAAACAAGTAAGTCGCACTTCCCAAGTGGATTGGCCGAAACAAGTCTGATCTCTTTATTTCCACTATGACAGTCTTTCCAAAAAGTAGAAAGTCCATAAACTCAGGGAGTGAGAAGTGCAAATAGAAGAAACCTTGCAAAATGGGCGCCATGTTAGGCCAGGATTCCGAGCTTGAAGGCCAAGTTCGTGGATCCTTCAGCTGTAAGACCTGCTTGCCAGCCGCTTCTGCTTCATATCCCGGGTCCTTGGCACACTGAGTTTCTAAAACCGGCTTGGTTGGAAGTGTGACTTTCGCAACGGAAGGATGCAAACTGGACAGTCCGATCGTAAAGTTGTTATCCTGGGCACCCACTTCGATGGATCAGGGAGAATTTCTGCGGTATCAGGCTTCCTCCAGGCCAGGGCCTGAGTCCAACGTCAAACAGTCAGATCAGCTTCCTCCTAATTGGTGGTTTGGAGCCCGGTGCTTTCGTGGTTCGAGGCTGGCTTCCCATTTAACCAGGATTCCAATCCCCAAACCACCCATCCAAACCACCTTCAAGGCTTGCCTGAAGTCAGATTCACTCGCAAAAAAAAAGACGAAGAAAAAAAAAAAAAACGCGCCTGGGCCTTGGCCACATCCTCCTCCTGCACCTCGTCCTAAGTCAAACGAGTCTCCGAAATGCTTCGGGCGGAAAGAGAAGTTGCGCACGGAGCCCAGAGTCGGCTCCGCGATGACGACCTGCACTCAGCACCAGAGCAATTGGCTGTGGCTCAAAAAACCGGAATTCCAAAATGGAACCCTGGTGAGTGGAAACATGGACCAAAACCTGCGTAACCCCTCCTGTGTAATTTTGAGCCACACCCAATTCTGGCACGAGGACTTTTCTTCCCAATCTCCAGCCGTCCTTCTTGACGATGCTGCGAACCCCGGCTCCGGGCGGGTGAACTTTTCTCTTGCGGGCTCCTCAGGATTCCCAGTTGAGTTGAGCTGCAACATGCAGTACCATTGCTTTGCACGTGCAAACCAGTTCTGCCACTTCGCTCTGCCAAAACCAATGTTTCCACCACCTGGACCCTCAAAATTCCCTTAAACATGGATGATTGGAACCCAAAATTATGGTTGGTGAGTTCCCTTTTTCTGAGTAGTTTCAGGGTTTCTGCTACCTTCATGAATTGAATTTCTGTCCTCGCAACTTGTCCAACTCTGCCAGCATGTTGCACAGGTTCTTCCTGGCAGTTTCAAGCAACCAGGAACCCACGGACCAGCGCGACTGGTTTCCCTTGGAAACATGTGGACGGTTGCATCAGTAGAGGACAAAATATGATTACGTGACAATGGGCCATACAAGAATTGAGCGGGGGGTTGGTCCATTTGCACCTGGTTGCTTCAGCGTCAGCACGCTTCCTTAGCTGAATGATCGCTGGCCCTTCTCTCATTGCACTCGATGCAGCACCCTTGAATGTCCATGAGCAAGCATCCGTTTGGCGTGGGGTCCGCAGTACTCTCTCCTTGCCGTGGTCACGGTGATTGCTTTTCCCTGCCATGCAGCAGAGCCGAACAACAAGCGCAAGCCCTACAAAGACGCGGCCAAAAAAAGACATGTCTTGACATGGATAAGCGGAAGTACCCGCCTTTGCCTGAGGTGAAGCCGTGGTGGTCACCTGCGCAAACCCCACTGCGGATGGTTGAAATCAAAATCCGCTTCTCGCACCACGAAATGAAACCATGGGAATGCAACCATCAGGTTTGTTGGTATTCACGTTGGGGGAATCGAATCAGGAACCATGGTCTCTGAAAGGTGGTGCGAAATGGATTTCGCAACCATTCAACCATCGCAGTTGTTTGGTTCTTGGCCCTGGCTGGTGAAGAGGGAGTCTGTTGGTGCTGTTGTTGCTGCGGTTCTTGTTTCTTGTGGTTGATGATGAGGCTGATGGCGTTGATCATTTTGACCTTGACGTTGACCTCGTTGCTGACAGTGTTGTTGGCGTTGTTGGCGTCGTTGTCGTTGCTGCTACTGCTGCTGCTGCTGCTGCTGCTGCTGCTGCTGCTGCTGCTGCTGCTGCTGCTGCTGCTGCTGTACTTGCTGATGTTTTGTTGGTGCTTCTTTTGCCGTTGCTGTGGTTGCTGCTGCTGCCGCCGTCGCTGTCATGCTGCTGTATATGCTGTACTTGACAATGCGTTTGGATGGCCTTGCATCCTATCACCTTATAATACATGGGGTTGTCCGTTCTTAGGGGACCCCGCAAATGTTGTTTTTTCCTTTGGGTTTCCCTTTAAAACCCGAACAAAAGGGGTACCCTAAAAAAAAAAAAAGACGAGCCACCCGACTCGCCAACAGCTGCCGCCGGCTTCGCATGCGCTTGCGTCCAGCCCGCCTCGTCATCCTCGCCCTGCGGGACCGTCAAGCGGTGGATCACAAGTGTCCGCTGGCAGCTATTGACTTGGGTGAGTTGGCCATGGGCCAAAACTCAAATCGTACCCCGGGTGAACATCCCAATCCAAACACTAAAATAGACAAGAATAGGTGGTGAATTCACCTACCCCAAAATGGTACCATTGGTTTAACTCTTAGTGGTTTAGTACGGAAAACCCAGTAGTTGGCAAAAAGATGCAACAAGTGAAAGTCCCAACATCCGTTGGCAAAATGTAACAAAGTATTGACTTGGGTGAAGTCTCGCGGTGACCACAAGCAAACACAGCCGCGGTAAACCATCCCATAAGTTCATGCGTGAAACAGTCCCTTGAGCGACTCAGTCCATGTACTCTCGGCTAGCAACTGGCCAGTCATCGGCCAACATGATCGGCTAGTCCCCGCCTGGTCAAAGCCATAGCTACAGGCGTCCGTGAGAGTTGGAGCGCCATCCAGGCGGCTGTAGACGCTGCAAACACCCGATTTCTGGAAGCTGAAGCGCAGGCAGTTGGGATGCCCGCTGCACAGCTCAGCACATTGTGCCAGAGATGAGTGTATTGCCAAAGGGGTACTTGGGCTCCAAAAGCCTCTCAGCACCAGCTTGTAGCCTGCAACTTTCACTGCCGGGCACTTTCCACCGAAGTCCTACGGCCAAGCAACTCTGAGAGCCTTCTTGACCATCCAAAAAAAAAGAAAGTCCTGAGCTTTGCCGGCCAAATCATCATCTTCAATGTCACCGGAGAAAGCCAGAGGGTCCGTCTGCTCCTTCTGCTTGCCAGCGGCACGCTGGCGATTTTTTGAGTATGTGTTGCAACCAAACAAGCGCAAACCTGAACACGCAAGCAATCCTCGTTCTGCCCTAGAAAAAAAACTCACCGCAGCAGTGTCCTCAATCACTCCGCTGGTATTGGCCTGCCAGATTGGCTTGGCGCACATCAAAAGGCGGCGTCGAACAGTTGTTACTAAGGTTTGTGCTAGGTAAACAAAGATACCCTGAGAAAAGGGCCGGTCAGATTTCGAGCTTTCGGGCCCATCTGGATGAGTACTTTTCTTGAAATGCTCCATCAGCCCCAAACCTGGCACCCCCCCCAAAAAAAGACGGGAACCTGCGCTGCGCGGTTTTTCCCGGGACCCAGGGGACGGACCCAGAGTTCTTAACCGCCCAACCAACACTGACTGGCCACAATTTTCTTCCGAGCTTGCGAACGTCCACGGTTTTTGACCAACTAAAGACTCTGGCCTGTGACATATCAGGCCCAAGAAAGAAATCTGAAGCACTGAAGGCGGACAACAATTTGCACACTGATCTCTCCCCTAATTGATTTCGCGTAGCCTGCCTGCTCTAGATCCACATCATCCCCGATGGTATCAGCTTCAGTGTCAGTGATGGCCTGCCGGAGAAGGCCACTCTGCCAGCCGAAACTAAGGGGTCTTCGGCAGGCTGAAAGCCCGTATACAGAGTTGCCTGTCTGCGGCTCACGCTGAAGCAAATGCGGGAGCCCCTTCTGAAGTCTGAGTAACTCAAACAATGCTTCCCAGGTGCCCGTCACCTGCCTGGTTGTCTGAATGTGTCACACGCCCGCTTGATGCAAAGACGAGGCTTTTAGACTGCCAGCCCAAGAGTGCCTCTGCCAGCTCAACATGCCAAACCAACCTACGCAGCACAACTATAGATCGTTCATGTCATGTCATGTTTGCAACGTTACCCTGTGTCCGGCACAAACAGAAATTACCGCAGTCCGAATTTGAGATCTTCGTGCGAACATCGTGCGTGAATAGACTCCACAATGTGTGTATGTGGGTGTGCAATGCATACGTGATGATTTCGGTGTGCGCGTATGTGCAAACATGTTGTCTTCCAGTGGGCCCGGCACACCCAACAAGCTCTACTCGTGTGGTGTTTTTTTGGCCTGTGCGCGTGAAGGCGACACACGAATGTGCGAAGGACTGTTCAATAATGCGCCGAACATGTACGCAATGTACATGCGTATGCAATGCCTCCGTGGTAGCGAGCCAGGGCCGGCTACGCACAAAGAAGGTCCTGTACAGAGCCTGATGCAGTCTGAGGCCTGAAAAGGCAAACTTTTGTGTTTGGCAGCTTTGCGTGGTACTTCTGCTCGGAGCTACGACCAACCTCTGGCCACAAAAGGTGCGCCTACGTGAAGCTGACCCAAACCCATCCAGCTGCCTCCAGCCCCTCTGAAGCAATGTCCTGAGGCCAAATCCTCCCACGGCCACAGCCGCAAGCGATAACCTTTGCGGGCATGTGTCAATGGCCTGCCTTCGTGGTCACCGAACGCGGGGAACTCTCACCAGTGTCAGTGTCAGTGTCAGAAGTGCTGGCCTGCCAAGTCACGCAGTGTCTGGCACAGTGTCGATTGGCCGTGCAGCCAGTCTCGCTGCCCGTGGTTCATGCCATAACCTTTGCGGGCATGTGTCAATGGCCTGCCTTCGTGGTCACCGAACGCGGGGAACTCTCACCAGTGTCAGTGTCAGTGTCAGAAGTGCTGGCCTGCCAAGTCACGCAGTGTCTGGCACAGTGTCGATTGGCCGTGCAGCAAGTCTTGCTGCCCGTGGTTCATGCCATAACCTTTGCGGGCATGTGTCAATGGCCTGCCTTCGTGGTCACCGAACGCGGGGAACTCTCACCAGTGTCAGTGTCAGTGTCAGAAGTGCTGGCCTGCCAAGTCACGCAGTGTCTGGCACAGTGTCGCTTGGCCGTGGTTCATGCCATAACCTTTGCGGGCATGTGTCAATGGCCTGCCTTCGTGGTCACCGAACGCGGGGAACTCTCACCAGTGTCAGTGTCAGTGTCAGAAGTGCTGGCCTGCCAAGTCACGCAGTGTCTGGCACAGTGTCAAGTCTCGCTGCCCGTGGTTCATGCCATAACCTTTGCGGGCATGTCATCAATGTGTCAATGGCCTGCCTTCGTGGTCACCGAACGCGGGGAACTCTCACCAGTGTCAGTGTCAGTGTCAGAAGTGCTGGCCTGCCAAGTCACGCAGTGTCTGCCACAGTGTCGATTGGCCGTGCAGCAAGTCTCGCTGCCCGTGGTTCATGCCATAACCTTTGCGGGCATGTGTCAATGGCCTGCCTTCGTGGTCACCGAACGCGGGGAACTCTCACCAGTGTCAGTGTCAGTGTCAGAAGTGCTGGCCTGCCAAGTCACGCAGTGTCTGGCACAGTGTCGATTGGCCGTGCAGCAAGTCTTGCTGCCCGTGGTTCATGCCATAACCTTTGCGGGCATGTCATCAATGTGTCAATGGCCTGCCTTCGTGGTCACCGAACGCGGGGAACTCTCACCAGTGTCAGTGTCAGTGTCAGAAGTGCTGGCCTGCCAAGTCACGCAGTGTCTGGCACAGTGTCAAGTCTCGCTGCCCGTGGTTCATGCCATAACCTTTGCGGGCATGTCATCAATGTGTCAACGGCCTGCCTTCGTGGTCACTGAACGCGGGGAACGCTCACCAGTGTCAGTGTCAGTGTCAGAAGTGCTGGCCTGCCAAGTCAAGCAGTGTCTGGCACAGTGTCGATTGGCCGTGCAGCAAGTCTCGCTGCCCGTGGTTCATGCCATAACCTTTGCGGGCATGTGTCAATGGCCTGCCTTCGTGGTCATCGGCGGGGAACTCTCACCAGTGTCAGTGTCAGTGTCAGAAGTTCTGGCCTGCCAAGTCAAGCAGGGTCTGGCACAGAGTTCATTGGCCGTACAGCAAGTCTTGCCGCCCGTGGTTCATGCCAGCACATTTGCACGCATGCGTCAAGAGCCCGCACGGGCGGCACTTGGCCTGCCTTCGTGGTCACGGAACGCGGGGAGCTGTCACCAGTGTCAGTGTCAGTGTCAGAAGTGCTGCCCTGCCAAGTGAAGCAGTGTCTGGCAAAGGGTCGATTGGCCCTGCAGCAAATCTTGCTGTCCGTGGTTCATGCCAGAACATTTGCGTTCATGCGTCAAGAGCCCGCGCGGGAACCATGTGGCCTGCCTTCGTGGTCACCGAACGAGGGGAACTCTCACCAGTGTCAGTGTCAGTGTCAGAAGTGCTGGCCTGCCAAGTCAAGCAGTGTCTAGCACAGTGTCGATTGCCCCTGCAGCGAATTTGCCCGTGGTTGATGCCATTACCTTTGTGTTCACGTGTGATGAGCCCGCACGGGCGCCACGTGGCCTGCCTTCGTGGTCACCGAACGCGGGGAACTCCCACCACTGTCAGTGTCAGTGTCAGAAGTTCTGGCCTGCCAAGTCAAGCAGTGTCTGGCACAGTGTCGATTGGCCCTGCAGCGAATCTGTTCGTGGATCATTCCAGAACATTTGCGTGCTTGCGTCAAGAGCCAGCCCGGCGCCACTTGGCCTGCCTTCGTGGTCACCGAACGCGGAGAACTCTCACCAGTGTCAGTGTCAGTGTCAGAAGTGCTGGCCTGCCAAGTCAAGCAGTGTCTGGCACAGTGCCGATTGGCCCTGCAGCAAGTCTCGCTGCTCGTGTTTCATGCCATAACAATTGTGTTCATGTGTGAAGAGCCGGCGCCACGTGGCCTGCCTTCATGGTCACCGAACGCGGGGAGCTGTCACGGGTGCCAGTGTCGGTGTCAGAAGTGCTGGCCTGCCAAGTCGAGCAGTGTCTGGCACAGTGTCGATTGGCCGTGCAGCAAGTCTCGCTGCCCGTGGTTCATGCCATAACCTTTGCCTGCCTTCGTGGTCACCGAACGCGGGGAGCTGTCACCAGTGTCAGTGTCAGTGTCAGAAGGGCTGGCCTGCCAAGTCAAGCAGTGTCTGGCGCAGTGTCAATTGCCGGTGCAGCAAGTCTCGCTGCCCGTGGTCATGCCATAACCATTCTGTTCACGTGTGAAGAACCTGCACGGGCGCCACGCCTTCGTGGTCACCGAACGCCGGGAACTCCCACCAGTGTCGGTGACAGTGTCAGAAGTGCTGGCCTGCCAAGTCAAGCAGTGTCTGGCACAGTGTCGATTGGCTGTGCAGCAAGTCTCGCTGATCGTGGTTCGTTCATGTCTGAAGAGCCCGCACGGGCGCCACGTCGCCTGCCTTCGTGGTCACCGAACGCCGGGAACTCCCACCAGTGTCGGTGTCAGTGTCAGAAGTGCTGGCCTGCCAGGTCAAGCAGTGTCTGGCACAGTGTCGATTGGCCGTGCAGCAAGTCTCGCTGCCCGTGGTTCATGTCATAACCTTTGTGCTCACGTGTGAAGAGCCCGCACGGGCGCCAGTTGGCCTGCCTTCGTGGTCACCGAACGCGGGGAGTTGCCACCAGTGTCAGTATCAGTGTCAGAAGTGCTGGCCTGCCAAGTCGAGCAGCGTCTGGCACAGTGTCGATTGGCTGTGCAGCAAGTCTCGCTGCCCGTGGTTCATGCCATAACCTTTGCGGGCATGTGTCAATGGCCTGCCTTCGTGGTCACCGAACGCGGGGAACTCTCACCAGTGTCAGTGTCAGTGTCAGAAGTGCTGGCCTGCCAAGTCACGCAGTGTCTGGCACAGTGTCGATTGGCCGTGCATCAAGTCTCGCTGCCCGTGGTTCATGCCATAACCTTTGCGGGCATGTGTCAATGGCCTGCCTTCATGGTCACCGAACGCGGGGAACTCTCACCGGTGTCAGTGTCAGTGTCAGAAGTGCTGGCCTGCCAAGTCACGCAGTGTCTGGCACAGTGTCGATTGGCCGTGCAGCAAGTCTCGCTGCCCGTGGTTCATGCCATAACCTTTGCGAGCATGTGTCAATGGCCTGCCTTTGTGGTCACCGAACGCGGGGAACTCTCACCAGTGTCAGTGTCAGTGTCAGAAGTGCTGGCCTGCCAAGTCAAGCAGTGTCTGGCACAGTGTCGGTTGGCCATGCAGCAAGTCTCGCCGCGCGTGGTTCATGCCAGAACCTTTGTGTTCACGTGTGAAGAGCCCGCGCGGGCGACAGTTGGCCTGCCTGCGTGGTCACCGAGCGCGGGGAGCTGCCACCAGTGTCAGTATCAGTGTCAGAAGTGCTGGCCTGCCAATTGTCTGGCACAGTGTCGATTGGCTGCGCAGCAAGTCTTGCCGCCCATGGTTCATGCCATAACCTTTGTGTTCACGTGTGAAGAACTTGCACGGGCGCCACATCGCCTGCCTTCGTGGTCACCGAACGCCGGGATCTCTTACCAGTGTCGGTGTCAGTGTCAGAAGTCCTGGCCTGCCAAGTCAAGCAGTGTCTGGCACAGTGTCGATTGGCCCTGTAGCAAGTCTCGCTGATCGTGGTTCGTTCATGTCTGAAGAGCCCGCACGGGCGCCACGTCGCCTGCCTTCGTGGTCACCGAACGCGTGGAACTCCCGCCAGTGTCAGTATCAGTGTCAGAAGTGCTGGCCTGCCAAGTCGAGAAGTGTCTGGCACAGGGTCGATTGGCCCTGCAGCAAATCTTGCCGCCCATGGTTCATGCCAGAACATTTGCGTGCATGTGTCAAAAGCCTGCCTTCGTGGTCACCGAACGCGGGGAACTCTCACCAGTGTCAGTGTCAGTGTCAGAAGTGCTGGCCTGCCAAGTCAAGCCGTGTCTGGCACAGTGTTGATTGGCCGTGCAGCAAGTCTTGCCGCCCATGGTTCACGCCAGAACATTTGCACGCAGGCGTCAAGAGCCGCACGGGCGCCACGTCGCCTGCCTTCGTGGTCACCGAACGCGGGGAACTCCCACCAGTGTCAGCTTCAGTGTCAGAAGCGCTGGCCTGCCAAGTCAAGCAGTGTCTGGCACAGTGTCGATTGGCCGTGCAGCAAGTCATACCATAAAATATGCGTTCATGGGTCTAATTCCGGCACGGGCGCCAAGTGGCTTGCCTTCGTGGTCACCGAACGCGGGGAACTAGTGTCAGTGTCAGAAGTGCTGGCCTGCCAAGTCAAGCTGCGTCTGGCACAGCGTTGATTGGCGGTGCAGCAAGTCTTGCCGCCATGGTTCATGCCAGAACATTTGCATGCATGCGTCAAGCGCCTGCCTTCGTGGTCACCGAACGCGGGGAACTCCCACCACTGTCAGTGTTGTCAGTGTCAGAAGTGCTGGCCTGCCAAGTCAAGCAGTGTCTGGCACAGTGTCGATTGGCCATGCAGCAAGTCATACCATAAAATATGCGTTCATGTTTCTAATTGCCTGCCTGCCATAATATGCGCTTGTACCTGCTTGCCTGTTCAGGTGCCTGCACTGCATGTAATGTGTGTAATGCATTGCAGTGTATGCAGTGTATGCAATTTATGTATTGTATGCGATGTGTGCAAACTTATCCTATGTGTATGTTATGTTTGCAATGCATATAATGTCTGTAACGCATGCAATACCACATGTGTGTAATTCCATGTAATAGTATGCACATACGTACGAGCGCTTGCAAGTATGAATGTACATATGTAATCAAGCAAGCAAGTATGTAAGCAAATACGCAACCAATGTCACAACATGTAATGTATGTACAGCCTGTACATGCACCTATGTATACATACAGTGTTTTGTATTACAGTACATAAGTACACGCATTATGCCTTTCTACAACTCAAGTCATTGGCGTTCAAGTGATCTGGTCCAAAACGAAGCGTGAAGAGGAACCGCTGGATTATTGGCGACCAGAAAGTGACCAGCACAAGCCAGCCGCGAGAGTTCAGATACACTGCTTCTAGTGACAAGTGGCCACCCTGCCTGGTCCAAGAACGACTAGAAATGCTGCGATCCAAAACGCATCGTTTCCAATGCAAGCCTTTGGTCTCAAGACACAAATTATAAAGGCACGATTGACTGAGAGGTTGAAGCAACTCGCGTTCGCAAACGACAACGGAGCAATCTCTGCGTTCGCAATCCACAGTTGGCATCGAATCGATGGAAACTTGTGGTGACCTGCCTCATTGGTCACTGAATCCTCGCTGGTGGCAGAAGGGATGACCTGCCAAGTCTGGTTTCCTACAGTTAAGGAATAGGGATTGCTGCAAAACCAGCAAGCAAAGATAAATCTGTGAACGCTGCGCACGTTCACGTGTGAACAAACATGCATGAAAACCAAGAAGTTGGCTTCCCCAGCCCGCGCGGTGCGGATTACATATGCGTGACAGCTAGGCTCAAGTGTCTCCCTCCAGCTGCACTGCGCAACTAGCGAATGCGGGAAATCGAGTTGCTCAAAACGCATAAAATATGAGGGTACCCTGAAAGTTTTACTGCCTCGTAGCCCAGTTTCCGGGTTCACTCCAACATTGCCGCTCCGAGTTCACCAGCGGGCCCGCCGCCTTTTTTCAGCACGGTTACATCTTGCTCACGGGGAGTATTTGGAGGACATGCACACCTGGACGCTGTCCCTCCCTTGCGTTGGCATCCACGGCGGCTTGCGAGCATATGAAGATGCATGTATCTATCTTAGAATATTATGGCGGTTGGCTGAAATTCCTTGTTCCGGAATCGCGGAGAAGCATGGCTTTCGCGACTACCATCGCGGATCTTCCGCAGGGCTATTTTCACAAAATTCAACACAAAGTAGTGAAGTACACTTCAACAGCCTCGGCTAGAAAGTCGCACTTTTCAGTACGAGACTAAACTTCTGCACGGCTCGAAAGTTGCAACTTTTCAGTGTGAAAGAAGGACACGAAGCTCGCTTCCGAAGCCCCAGTGCGAAAACCACAGCTTTGCAGCTCCAAAGAATTGCACTTCCGCAGCCCCAGCCCGTGGACTTTAGTGAAACTTTTGCAGATGGAGGACCGCCCAAGCTTCTCTGCTCTTCTCGTACCGTCAGCCTGGTGCAACACAGGGACCTAGCTCAGTTGCTCAACGACCTTCGTGAGTTCGCGCAGCAACGCTTCATGAACTTCTTCAAAGGGAACCCAGTCGTTTCATCCGCAGTATTTTGACAAACACGTCAGCTTATCCAACAATCCTTTTGCCCGAGCCAAAATATACTGAGGATTTGGAGCTTCCACCCCACTTGAAGATCTAGGGTTGTGTGACGGGTGTGCGGGTCACAGGTATGCGGGCGTGCGGGCGTGGGTGCGTGCATGTGTGTTTGTGTGCATGTGTGTGTGTGCGTGTATTGGCTTGTTGGTTTGTCTGTTTGTCTGTGTGCCTTTCTGTTTGTTTGCTTGTGTGTTTTTGTTGTCCGTTTGTTTGTTTGTTTGTTTGTTCGTTTGTTTGTTTGCTTGTTCGCTTGCTTGTTTGCTTGCTTGCTTGTTTGTTTGCTTGTTTGCTTGCTTGTGTTTGTTTGTTTGTTTGTATGTTTGTGCGGTTGGCTGGTTGGTTGGTTGGTTGGTTGGTTGGTTGGTTGGTTGGTTGGTTGGTTGGTTGGTTGGTTGGTTGGTTGGTTGGTTGCTTGGTTGCTTGGTTGCTTGGTTGCTTGCTTGCTTGCTTGCTTGCTTGCTTGCTTGCTTGCTTGCTTGGTTGGTTGGTTGGTTGTTCGTTTGGGTTGGGTTGGGTTGGGTTGGGTTGGGTTGGGTTGGGTTGGGTTGGGTTGGGTTGGGTTGGGTTGGGTTGGGTTGGGTTGGGTTGGGTTGGGTTGGGTTGGGTTGGGGTTGGGTTGGTTGGTTGGTTTGTTTGTTTGTTTGCTTTTGGTTGTTTTTGTTTGTTTGTTTGTTTGTTTGATTGTTTGTTTTTGTTTGTTTTTGTCTGTTTTTGTTTGTTTGTTTTTGTTTGTTTGTTGTTTGTTGTTTGGTTGTTTGTTTTGTTTGTTTGATTGTTTGTTTGTTCGTTTGTTTGTTTGTTTGTTTGTGGTTGTTTGTTTGTTTGTTTGTTTGATTGATTGATTGATTGATTGGTTGACTGGTTGACTGATTGACTAATTGACTGATTGACTGATTGACTGATTGACTGATTGATAGATTGATATATATATATATACTCGGCGTAACGGCCGTAATAACTCGCGCGGGAAACTGAAAGGCCGTTACTACTCCGTGAAAAAGTCGTGAAAACTCGTGAAATTTCAAGCTCTGAGTTATCTTGTCCTCGCGACACAAAAACCTCCTTAGCTCATACGGCCTAAGTAACTTGCAAATCGGAGACCCAGGAATTGCGATCGCCGCTTACTGCGTGGCGGCGCAACTGCGTATTGGGGCTGGGGGGGTGGGGCGGGGCAGTTACGTTCGCTTCTTGCTGCGTGACCGTGCGACTGCGTCCTGGGGCTGGGGGGGGTGGGGGATGGGGTGGGGCAGTTACGTTCGCCTCTTACTGCGCGACCGTGCGACTGCGCGCTGGCGGTGATGGTGGTGTTGTTGGTAGTGATGATGACGATGTTGATGATGATGATGGTCATGACGATTATGATGATGATGATTATGTTGACGATGTTGGTGATGGTGATGATGATGTTGTTGATGATGATGATTACGTTGACGATGTTGATGATGATGATGATGATGTTGGTGATGATGTTGATGATGATGATGATGATGATGATGATGATGTCGCTTTGCGTTCCTTGCGCCTTGTGTTCCCGGGTCTACAGTTGACGATTGTCTCCCAAAAGCACGGCGCCATCCATGTGCTACACGTGCATCGTGGTGCGTGATCGCGCGCCTCATCGTGGTGTGCATGGACAATTGGAAAAATGGCCGTGCTGCTGTAAATCACCTACACTTGAGCAAAACCGCGTTCAAAAACGAGCCAACACACGCGTTCAAAAACGACCACCTTCCCCCCCCCCCACACCCCCCGCAGGGCCTACCTTTCTTCTTCAAATTGGACCAATTTCAATTCCTCTATTTTAAAGACAGGGGGTGTGAGAATACATCACGCAAGAAGTGTGCTGTTGTTGCATAGTTTGTGTGGGTGACAAGTCTGCTGAGTAACAACAGCGAAGAGTTTATAAACTTTCAGGAAAGTTTATAAACTATGTCAAGGGTTTGACGGTTGGGCACCTGGGAGGAGGTTGAGAAGTCTGGCGCATGGGGAGGGAGGGGGGAGGGGGAGGGTGACAAGTCTTTAGCAAAGTTGGTTGAGTCACACCCAACCACCACCACCACCCCTCCCAAGACTTCCCACCCCCCCCTGTTCAAGGATACCAAGACCATGAAGACTTCCCAGGGTGTTGTCTTGTTGCAGGAAGACGCCAAACACTCAAGAAGGTTTATAAACTTTCCTGCAAGTTTATAGACCTTATGTAGGCTTAATGCGTAGCAAATGGATACTGTTGTTTGGGGAAAATGTTGTTTGGGAAAAGGAACCATCTTCGGTCCAAGGAACACAATCTGAGCAATTTCTGCAAAATACTGTGTATAAAATCATTTTTTGGATCTAAAATCCCTTGACATTTTCATTTCGGAACGCCTAACACCTAGAATCTGGAGATCAGAATCCTCGAAATGTCTAATGTTGGATTCTCCGAGCCTCATAATTTGCAGCCTGGAGTCCTCCAACATATCCACATACACATTCGTTTCCAAATACGATTTTGCTCCCAATTGAATTTGCATATTGAAGATAATTTAGTAAGCACATAATTCACCACCATTCATAATTCACCATAATGTCTATATTTGATCAGAATTTGAACAGGAATACTTTCCAAATAAGGAAAATCATTTCAGTAGAGTCTAAATATACTTTCATGCAGACAGAACTCAATTAGCTTTTGAACACAAGAACTTAATCAAGAATCCATCCCCAAATACAAATTGAATTGGAATAGAGCTTATTCTGGAAAGAAATCAATTGGCCTTTGCAAACAAATTTTAATAGTAACTCATTCCCAAATATGGTTTAGCTTAAATGTGGCTAAATAAATAAAGGGCACATATCCCCAGACTCCCAAACTTGGTCTGGAGATGTGCTTAGCATGTGCAGGTCTCAGAGCGTTCATTTTCAGGACATGTTGTGCTTTTGGGTCGCAGAGCTCAAAGCTGCAAAAAACATCATTTGTTCAATGGTTTTCCCTGGTGTACTCAAAACCACTGTAAAAACCAGTGTTTTCAAACAAAGCCAGACTCGAATCTGAAAACGGATTCCGTTTTCGCGTTGTTGCCTTTCAAGCTGAAACAAAGCAAACAGTTGCTGTCATATAGAAGGTCAAACACCAACAGAAACACTGTTTTTTACACTGTTTTTAGGTATCTGCAAGAACGAGGCACACGGAGTAGACTTGACACCTTCAACTAGAAGAGAGCCCTGGGGGGGGGATGACCATATATATATATATATTGACATATTGGTATATTGATATATTGGTATATTGGTATATTGATATATTGGTATATTGATATATTGGTATATTGATATATTGATATATGGATATATTGATATACTGGCATATTGTTATATTGGCATATTGGTATATTGATATATTGATATATGGGTATATTGATATATTGGTATATTGATACACTGGTATATTGGTATATTGGTATATTGGCATATTGGTATATTGGTATATTGATAGATTGAGATATCGATATATTGATTGTTTGTTTGTTTGTTTGTTTGATTGATTGATTGATTGATTGATTGATTGATTGATTGATTGATTGATTGATTGAATGATTGATTGATTGATTGATTGATTCATTCATTGATTCATTGATTAATTGATTGATTGATAGATTGATTACCTGTTCGTGTTTTGTGTCTTTGTTTGTTCTGAAGGTTTGCTTCCTTGTTTGTTAGTTAGTTTCTTAGCTAAATAGTTAGCTAGTTGGTTAGTTAGTCAGTTGGTTAGTTAGTGGGTTAGTTAATTTATTTGATTGTATGGTTGGTTGGTTGGTTGGTTGGTTGGTGGGTTGGTTGTTTGTTTGATTGCGTGTGTGTTTGTTTCTTTGCTTGCCTGTCTGTCTGCCTGCATGCCTGTCTGCCTGCCTGCCTGTCTGGTTGCTTGTTTTGTTGTATGCTTGCTTTCTTTTTTGCGTGCTTGCTTGCTTGCTTGCTTGTGTGTTTGTTTGTTTGTTTGTTTGTTTGTTTGTTTGTACGTTTGTTTGTAAGTGTGTTCTTGTGTCGCTTTTGTCCTTTGTTCGATTTTTTCGATTGGTTTTGCTGCTTCTGTGTGCTTGTGCGTGGGTTTGTGCGTGTGTGTGTCTGTCCTTGTGTGTGTGTGTGTGTGTTGGTGTTTGTGGTGCTTGTGTTTGTGTGTGTGTGTTTGTGCGTCTCGTCGTGCGTGTTTTGTGGTTGTTTGCGCGCAGTACCTATGTGCACGTAAGTGTCCGTGTGTGACAAAGCGTATGGCTCCTCGCGCATATTAAAAGTGAACTTGTTGGTTTGCCAACTACATCCAGCTGGTCAGCGAACTCTACCTACGCTTCACAGCATTGTGCTTTTTGTCGCGACGTTGGCAGCAAAGGGCGTCAGCACTGGCAGTCTGTGCGAGACGCTTAGCAAGATTAGTCTGTGTGGAAGTTTCACACATTTCTCATAGGATAAGTTGAACGGTGAGACAACTCAAATCATTTCAGATCTGGTATCTCAAAAACATGTACCAAAATGGTCGTTCTCTGTCAGATCATGCCGACAAAAGCACTGCGCCAAGGCAACTCCAGGCCAGGATTTGACGAGGGGCGCCTCCAGCCTGCCCAGAAGCAAATGTCGAAGTTGCGGTCGTGGTCATCGTCGCAGTCATAGTGAAAGTCTTCGTGGTCGTAGTGGTGCCGCTCATCGAGGCATCAAACCCAAAGACTGCATTCGGGTTGGGGTCTGCCACGTAGAATATGCGCTGATCTGCCACAGCACATGATGTGAGGTCCGTTCTCGCCCGATCTGCGCAGTAGAAGACGACGCCGTACTCCCGGTAGGTTCCAGCCGTCTTTCCCGCAGACGCCCCTTCAGTTCCCGGCACAATGGACTGACTGTTCATTCCAACTCCCAGCAAGCTCATTCCACTCACTTCGAAATTCACTCCCCGAGCTTGGAACTGCTCCCAAGCGAGGGTGGCACCGCCAAGGTAAGGAACCGTCCCAAAGCTGAAGCCCACAGAATCCCTGGCCTGGGCGCCGCTGGATTTATCCGACCTGAGGTTAATCGCGTGCCAGGCGATCTTGTCATCTATGACTCCACACATGCGCAAGTTGTCAGCTGTGATGCCAGTGGCCGCGCCAGAAGTCATGAGCTGGTTGGGGCTTGGACAAGCCACTGGGCCGTATGAGCTTCCCGCCGAGCTGGGCAAATCCCCGACCGTGAGGGACGTCCACTGACGGTCTGCACCTTGTACACGCCCGCGTATGAGCCAGTGCGAGTCAAGAACGCCGTCTTCAGCCCAGCTGCTGAGGACGCAAGAGATCCGATGGTGACGGCATGCATGTTGGCCGATGTGTCTGCAGAAGCCACATCGCGAGTGTGAGTGCCAGTGAGCGTGCTGGTGAGGTGAATGCCGAGCCCCACATGACCTTAGCTTTCAAGACTTGTGCGACTCGGTCATCAACACATCACACAATGCCATGCCGCATAACGCTGCCCCATACTCTGAGATACTCTGAGTCAGCGCCAAGTCACTGGAGTCAACCGCACAACGTACGGCCACACAAGCGCCAGAGTATGTGGCACCGCTGGAGGTCAAACCACTCACCGTGCAGCCCAAGTCTTCAATGGTGGACAGCTCTTCCACTGCGCTGCTGCCACTGCGCACCGCGTTGTCCGCATATTCAAATATCGGATACAACTTGCACTCCTGGTCTGCAATGGAGAGCGCCTCAGTGGCGCAGTCGGAGATGGCTGGATGGTTCACGAGGCAGGTGGCGCCGAACAGATTGCAAATCTGCACCGCAAAGGCCTTTCTGCCGCCCAAAATGTCCTCGGCGCCGGATGTGCAGCTGGTGATTCCCGCTGGCTCGGCACCGTTGGCAAGGGCTAAACCGGCGATGAACGCGAGAAACGAGGAGACCGCCATCATCAAACCGATCCGATTGATTGGCACTCTAAGCCTCGCTTTTGCAAACTGAACCGGCTTGAGGCAAAATGGCTACTTACTCTTCAGAGTATAACTTCCACTGGTCACTCTTGTCGAACATGCCTGCAGTAAAGCAAGTGAGCAGCATTGGCAGCATGAAGTGTCATAATGTTCTGGAACAATGCCCAAAGGTCTCGATTTGCAGACTGCCCAAAATATCCTATCCCGCAGCCATCTCTCTCAATGATACGCATGCCATGCAATCTTACAAACTCGCGCAACCCCTTCGAACACATGCCCAAGAGCCTTATTGGTGGCCGGCACACTCGAGCTGCTTGCAGATCTACCCTTCGGGCTCGCGCTGGTCGAGCTGCCGGATGCCTGCAAAAAAGCGACAAGGTCCTCACGGCCATGGCTCTCAATGACATGCAGCCAATGCTTGCAAGCTCGTGCGAAACTGCTTCGGAAGCTCAAGCAAGAGCCTTCGCAGCTGGAATTGCTGTGCTTGTCGGACTGCTCTCCACCTGTCACTTCGAGCGCTCAACTGCAACAAAGCTCATGGTGTCTTCAACGCAATGAGAACCCTTGTCCCATATTCGTGGACATGCAGCTGGCGTGGTCCAGTTGCGTGCAAGTTTGCGCTGCAAGCTTGCAACTGCCGACTCAAGTTCACTATCCACTTTGCCTTTGCAGACACTACTTGTGTTTTGCGAACCAAACGCTGAGGCTGAGCGGGTTGGCTGGCTGAGCCATCAGAAGCTATTTCTTTCCCATTGTATTACCCCCGTTGGTTTGTTCCAGGGGCCGACTGGCGAGAGAGAGCCCACGGAGACAGCAGGCGTGCGCGGAAGTCAGCATCTGGGGCAGGCAGGATTTGGAGAGTGCAAGAGGGGCAAACCAAGAGCAAGACGCACACTGTGCCGGCATCCACGCATCCACGCTATTCACGAGCGGAGATGGCCGTTACCGCGTCAGGCGCAAACGGCCAGTCTTCACAAGAGCGTCCAGGGCATCTGTTGTTGTCAAGGTAAAGGGAGATCGGGACGGCCTCTACGCAACGCGCTCAAGACTCGCGCAGCAGTTCTGGAATATGGCCCATCCGAAGTTGCAAAGCCTAGGTAGCCGCTTCACATGGAAGGGAACGAGCCCAGGTGTTCCATGGAAAAACCCGTTGACCCTTGCACGGCGGGGCCACAGTGGACGAGGCCGGCCACGTCAAAACTCCTTATGTGGTCATGATCCTGGATCCCACAAAACCTTCACTTTGGCTGTCTACCCCGAAGAGGTTGAGGACTATTATCAAGTAAAGGAACCGGTCATTTAAAACGTCACTCCCAAGCACAAATGTGGGCGTGGCATTTAAAGCCGACAAGTATTCAGCCCGTCCATCTAAACAGGTTGGCCTACTGGCATGAGCGAATTGCGTGTGTGTGTGTGTGTGTGTAGCTCGACTTGTGGTCTACCTGCCTGGCTATCAGAGTCCTCCATGGTGTCTGTGCTCGCCTCCTGTCAGCCGCTTGCCATAATCGTGCGCCGCGCCAGCGAGCATTGCCGGGCCAAAAAGATCAAAAGCCCTTCACAACCTTCCAAGACAGCACGACAGCAACGTGTGCAGTGAAACTTGCTTTGTGTCAAAGAGCCCACAGTCTGAGCTCATGCCCATAATAATCACAGGTGGCTCACAGCCAAATGCATGAGCAATGCCATCTGCAAGTTCCTCCGACATATCCTCACCAGGCGGGCTGGACGTGCCGTTCACAGCCTGCCAGTCTCACTCGCGAAAGTGCGGCCCAATCCACTGAGAGCAAATATATCCACCTCTATAGGGCATCCAGCATTATGATAGCACCGAATCTGACTTGCTCGCAACAGTCCCGTGAACAGCAGGTTGGGCTCCCATCAAAATCACGTGCCCCTCCCCAAAAGCTCAGTTTTGCCCCCACCCCCATCCCGCCTGTTTGGCATTGAAAAAAGGGTACAAGGTGCAGATCTTACAATAGCATCTCGCTTAAACACCGATGGCGTTTTGGCTGATAGATGACGTCAGGCATGTTTCTGAGAGTGGAAACACCAACAACTCCATGGGCCAACGCCGAAAGATATCCAAGACATGCTTAACGTACGGACCCAAAGGCACATCCATGCTATGCAAATTGAGCCTGGCCAGTGGATGCAATACTCGAGGAACCGCTCTGTTTAGCTTTGTAAGCTACACCTGCAACCTATCCGCCCAAGCGCACTGGGCAAAAATTGCGCCAGTATGCGCCCTATGCGTCAGCTTCTCTCTCCAAATTTGCTACTTGCCGCAAAACGCCCACCCCACGATATGGCAACTCACATGGCAACTTCTGGACGGGGCATGTGGGCTCCCTTTGCAACCAAAACCCGCCTCCAACTTCGGCGACATGTCCAAATCCTCACTCACATTGCATCCCTTGAACAGTCCGAGAGAGCAACGAGCATCTGTGCCTTCTCAATCTTTTTCAAGCCAGCCCCTTCTTCTGCAGGAATTTCTGCCTCAGCTAAACAGGTACCAGGTTGATTCAATATGCTTTCGCAGCTGCAAGCGCTGTTTTTTCGGTGTTGAACTCAAGTCGTGTCACTTTTCCTCGCTCCGGTGAGAGATCTTGAACACGTGCAAAACCTCCCTACGCTCCCGCCTCCCGCTGGGAGCACTGTGGAAAGGCAACTGCATGAAGGCGACTTTACAGCCCCAAAGCGCACATCTCTGTGCGGAATGTACCCTCCCTCCAACAATGGAAGCTGACAGGAGGGTTTTGGAAGACTATGTTCCTTTTGGGCAACCCCTTTGTCCACTTCCGTGATTGTTGGACAGGGTAAGCCTGCCTTTGATCCGAACTCTGTTCGAGCTCATTGTGCGCTCATGGTACAGCCGGATGTTTCATCTGCCAATGCCGGTTGCGTCCTGCGAAGAAAGCCAAAGGCAATGCACCAAAGTCATGTCACTCCTTGCTGGTGCTCAGGAGGAAATGCCCCAGGGTGTTAGGAATGAACTAGGGTTTCCCTGAAAGGAAACCCCAGGGATGGCTTCTAGGGGGTCATTCCATTGTTTATTCCCTGTTGAATTTCGGCAAGACACTAAACATCTCAACATCTGAGAATCGCATCGCGGTTTTTTGACCGCGATTCAGATATATTGTGTTCAAAGGCGCTGCCGTGTGCAGAACAGTCTCGGGGAAGAAATGGTCATGGCTCGCTTTGTGCGCACCAGAGCCCCGCAGCCGGAACTTCTTCGGTTTGGGGTGAGTGACACACAGCTTGTGTGTGAAGCAATCGTGGATGTTATCAGGTTGCACAAGAAGCTTGTTCAATAAACTGTGTGGCATGCATGACTGCTGCAGACTGATCGGCAAACTAATCTGTGATCAGATTTCAGCAGCAAAATCCGCTACTTGTGCCTCTACACGCACTGCCAGTTTTGGCTTCGAAAGTCTGAATATCTTAATTCATAAATTCTCAGCAATGCACATCACGTGCTCTGTTTGGGCACCTACGTTGTTTCTGTGAGTGTGCCACACCTAAAATGGCCTTCGGCCAAATGCTTGCTCTACAACTACCCCCCGGAAAGTGAGTCGAGTCTTCCTTCTGCCTCAGTGGCTTTCGTCGAGGTGAAGGCTCACATCATCCGGAGAGGAGTCAGGCTGCACAATTCCAACACTTGGGTAGGACTCCTTCCGCATCTTCATGAGCCGCGCCGCAGCGCAGCCTGCCGCGCTGATGGCTCCCAGCAGGGCGCCGATGGAGACGGCCACCATGGCATAGCCCTGCTCGCCATCCTCGTCCACCAAGACTTCGAGTCTTTGCGCCGGGCTCAGGGCCAGCTTGCGGCCAGCCACCTTCCGTGGCGCCACCTGCTGGGGCTCGGCCACTTGCGCTCGGAAGCCCTCGGGCCGATGGGCGCCCGCAGCGCGCAAGTGGCGGGTGAGGGCGGCGTTCAGCTTGGAGGTGAGGCCTTGGTTCAAAGCGATGAGCTGAGCCTCCACTTGGTCCAAGGCATCTTGAGATCGCCCCGACACCTCGAAGGCCACCATGAGGCACTGAGCCGAGTCCGCGCCCTCGCGCTCCGAGCCGCGTTCCGGCCGCGACCGCTTCAGGCGCTGGGCGGCCTGGCAGGAGAGCATCTGGCCCTTGTTCAGCTTCAGGTGCGTCGCCTCCATCTGCAGGGCCTCAGCCAGCGACGCCACCAAGGCCTTCCTGATCTCCAGGCTGGGGGGCAGCACGTGCGAGCCGGAGTCCCGAGAGCCCAGCTGCAGGCCGGGGATGGTGATGGAGCCCATGACTTTGTGCAGAGCTGAGCCGGATTTCGTCCTGGAGATGTCCTGGCCTTCCGTCCAAAGCAACTGCACCTCGTTCCAAGCCAACGGCTGCTGCCGATGAAGCCAAGACTCAACAGGTTGCTCTTCTGACAGAGAGCGCCCGCGAGAAGAATCTGCCTCGTAAAACTCACCCAGATCCTCCCAATCCTCTAGAGGAATCATGACGCCTTCCTCCATCTCAACATCTCCGTAGGTACTCACCACAATCAAGGCTTGATGATAAGGCTCAACACGAACATGGAACGAGAAGGCTGAAGCAGTTTCAGCAGCATTTAGCCGGCCCAAGAGCTCATCCTTCGCGGTCCCATTGGCTAGATAAATGGAATAGGATGTGATTCCTGCGGATACTTTGGCTGGAATGACATAGACATCGCCTTTCACTTGACCTGCCATGGGATCAGTATCACCAGAGAAGCTTGCGTTCAATGGAGGACTTCGCACTACATCTAGAAGTGGTGTGGACACCTTGGCACCATCGCCATTGGCATTCCCAGACACAACGACAATGTCGACCGGGTGCAGGAGCTTCGTCTTCGGGATGTCAACATGCAACATGACATCGGCGCTCTCTGGCGCATCCAAGGTCCAGCCGTCCCCGTCTGCCGTGCCGGAGGCATCTGCCAAGAAGACATGGTAGAACGTGACCGCATCCACGACGGATGCGGGCAGGAACTCTATTCGGCCCTCCACCCAGTACTGCTCCGTGTTGGCATCAAGGAAGCGGAGCTTCCTCGCCTTGAGGGCGGGGGAAGGCGGCATCACCTGAGTCATAATCAAAACCCGGTATTAAAATGGTCGACCCAGAACCATGTAAAGAATTTATGGTTGGGATTGTCCCTCACAAACCTTCATCTACCCGGAATTTGATTGTGGCTCACCTTGGCATCAAAGTCAATGACCTCGCCCACCGAGGACTCCGAGCCTTCGGTCTTGGTGTAGGCTGCAACCACTTTCACCTCCGAGGCCAGAGGCGCGACTTCGCTCACGTGGAGCTGGGCCATGGTGCCCGTCTGCGTCAGCTCGAAGCTCCAGCCCGCCTCCACTTCGCTGCGGTCCGCCGACCAGGCGATGCTCTGCGGACCGGCCTCCAGCTTCACGGTCATGGGCAGGTGCAGTCTCGTGCCCGAGAGCTGTCGTCCGCCCACCTCCAAGTAGTCGTAGTACTTCTCCGTCTTGAACTCGGTGATGTGGACGGTGGCAGGGCCGCTGAAGCTGATCACGGCATACTCGTTGTTGTCATAAGGATCCCGGTGAAAGCGATAGGTCTCTCCGCTGACGGACGTATTCAGGAGATGGCAGTCCCCTTCGCAGGAGGGTTTCTTGAAGCCGGACGCTGCAACCTTGCCAAGGAAGCTCCCCTCCTTGTCCTGCCAGTAGAGGTTGTAGTGAGTGATGGAATCTTCAGACTTTGCTCGGTGGAACAAGACGCTTCCCGTAACGATGCCCTTTCTTCCATCTGAATCCCCACCCCAACTCACCGCACCAGGTCCAAATTCTGGAACGCCGTAGTCTTCGATGTCCACTACAGCGGCAGTTGATGGTCCTGCATGAGCACTGGCGTTGGCGGAAACTACTGCCAATCCTCTCGCATACTTGGGAATGGTCAGATTCACCAGGGTAATGGTCAGCTTGCTCTCACCAGTTGCACTTACTCGGCCAACTTCGTCCATCAAGAAGCCTGCCACCGAGTACACGTGCAAAGCATAGTACTCGATGTCGCTCTCGTCCAGAGCGGCAGTGACAACGGCATCCCCTCCGATCATTCCAACTGTTCCATCAGTATCTTCAAAAGTGAGTCCGCGTGGCTTGTTCACAGGCGGCACCATGGCAGGGTACATGGATGCCAGCACCAGGGCCCGGCGTGCATTGACTCGACCGTTGGTGATACTGCTGTTCTGCAGTGCGTCCTGCTTCGTCGCCGACTCCATGATGATCTCCCGGACCTGGCTCATGGACAGCTGGGGCCGGAAGAGCCACACCAGCGCGGCCAGGCCGCTCACATGCGGCGTCGCCATGGAGGTGCCGCTGAGGAAGGCGTACTTGCCGCCGGGGATGGTGGAGTAGATGGAGCTGCCCGGCGCTGCCACGTCCACCGTGCTGGCCCCGTAGCAGCTGAAGGAGGACAAAGCCCCCGTGACCGTGGTGGAGGCGATGGACACGATGTTCCCGGAGGGGTAGTTGGACGGGTAGTGGGGGATCTCGTCGTTGTCGGAGCCCTCGTTCCCCGCCGCGGCGATGAAGAGCACCCCGGCACTTTCCGCGCGCTCGATGGCCACCTCGGCAAGGCGGCGAGAGCCAGGGTGTGGCTCAAGAATAAGGAGCCAGGGCCAACTGCAGGTCTTTGTTGTTTCCATTTGCCAAGGTGCCATTTTGGTACATGTTTCTGAGCCAAAATTCCTTGATGAGACTTCTTGAGATTTAACCGGCGACAGCTGAAAGGCATGTTGTTGCTGCTGCTGCTGCGGCTGCGGCTGCGGCTGCTGTTGTTGTTGTTGTTCTTGTTCTTGTTCTTGTTCTTGTTCTTGTTGTTCTTGTTCTTGTTCTTGTTCTTGTTCTTGTTCTTGTTCTTGTTCTTGTCCTTGTCCTTGTCCTTGTCCTTGTCCTTGTCCTTGTCCTTGTCCTTGTCCTTGTCCTTGTCCTTGTCCTTGTCCTTGTCCTTGTCCTTGTCCTTGTCTGTGTCCTTGTTCTTGTTCTTGTTCTTGTTCTTGTTCTTGTTCTTGTTCTTGTTCTTGTTCTTGTTCTTGTTCTTGTTGCGGTTGGTTGGTTGGTTGGTTGGTTGGTTGGTTGGTTGGTTGGTTGGTTGGTTGGTTGGTTGGTTGTTGCTGTTGCTGTTGCTGTTGCTGTTGCGGTTGTGGTTGCGGTTGTGGTTGTGGTTGTTGTTGTTGTGGTTGTGCGTGTGGCGGCGGCGCTTGTGGTTGTTGTGGTTGTGGTTGTGGTTGTGGTTGCGGTTGTGGTTGCGGTGGTGGTTGTGGCGGTTGTGGTTGCGGTGGTGGCTGTGGTGGTGGTAGTGGTAGTGGTGGTGGTTGTGGCGGTGGCGGTCGCGGTGGTGGTTGTGGTGGCGGTTGCGGCGGCGGTTGTGGTAGCGGTTGTGGTGGTGGTTGTGGTGGTGGTTGTGGCGGTTCTTGTGGTGGTTGTGGCGGTTGTGATTGTGGTTGTGGTTGTGGTTGCGGTTGTGG